TATTGGCGTTAGTGCATAGTTACCAATCATAAGGGAATGTAGGGCACATGAACAGCATGTGATTTATGTCTGTAGTCTATCTGAATAAGCGTGATTGCATGTACAGATATGAAAAATGTATATAACCATGCAAGCGGAGCAATAAAGTGAACTGACTGTGCATTGCATCAATGTGTGAGAGTCGTTCCTGTCCCTGCACGGATGCTGAAACTCGGCAGGTAGTAGTTACTTACGACTAAATCTGCACACTGGGATACAGATAGGCTGACATCTTTGTGCAGTGATAGCCAAGATTTTAATTTCCCAAATTTCACTAATACTGGAAAAAATGATGAATATTTCACAACACTTCCGTCAACTTTACTAGTGGGTTGAGATACATGATTTTAAGGCCTGGTAAACAAAAGCTGTCGTACAGGCCAGTAAGTCTCCCCTCTGTGCGTGGCAAGATCATGGAGAAGGTCCTCTTGGAAATTATGTTAAAGCACACAGAAAATAAGGAGGTGATTGGTGACAGCCAACATGGCTTCACTAAGATAAAATTGTGCTTGACAAAATTGTTGGCCTTCTACAACATGGTTACTGTGTTGGTGCATAAGGGAAAAGTAACTGATATCATCTATCTGGACTTCAGCAAAGCGTTTGACACTGTCCCACATGACATTGTCTCTGAATTGGAGAGAAATGGATATGATAGATGGACCACTTGGTGGATAAGGAATTGGCTGGATGGTCACATTCAAATTGCTGAGGTCAAAGGCTCGAGCAGGTCCAGAGGAGGGTCACAGTAATAATCCAAGGGCTGGAACACCTCCCCTGTGAAGACAAGCTGAGCGATTTGGGTTTGTTCAGACTGGAGAATGCTCTGGGGACACCTTGTAGCAGCCTTCCAGTACCTGAAAAGGGTCTTACAAGAAAGCTGGAGAGGGATTTTTTAGCAGGGGATGTAGTGATAGGACAAAGGGTAGTGGCTTCAAATTGAAAGAGGGGAGACTGAGGTTAGATATAGGAATTAAATTCTTTACTCTGAGGGTGGTGAGCCTCAGAACAGGTTGCCCAGAGAGTATGTGGATGCCCCCTCCCTGGATGTGTTCAAGGCCAGGTTGGATGATGCTTTGAGCAACTTGGTCTAGTGGAAGGTGTCTCTGTCCATGGCAGGGGGTTTGGAACTACATGACCTGTAAGGTCCCTTCCAACCCAAATGATTCTATGATTCTATCTAAATTAATAGCTTAATGACTTGGCTATAGATTCACTTTACTTCCCAGTAGCTCTATAGAAGAGATTGTAAGGTTTATAGCTATTAAATTATTTCCTTGACAAGAACATCCTCTTGTATGGTTGTCAGGGAATTCCTCCAGGATAAGATGTCTACATAGTACTGCCAGCTCTGTTTCACAAACCAGTGTAAAATTAGAAATTTATAGCTCCATTTTATAACGGTCTTGTTGTTCTAAGTAGTTATACTAGAACTGCTGCTTTGATGGGTTTAGGTGATACTGTGTGGTTTCTGGATTACAGTAATGAACAAATTGTACTATGACTTTAAAGACTTAGTGGACAAGTTGGCTCTTGACATGCAGATAACGTAGAATTAAAACAGCTTAGTGCATTTCAGAGACAGCTAGTCTCAGTACCTCCAGAGTAACCCAGTTTTGTGCCTATTGATTATAGAAACTTAAATGTAGTTTTAAATCTCACTCTATAGTATTGCAGAAGCTGCTTCAGTCTTGAAAAGACTCCAGGAGATGCATAGCAATCTCTGTATTCCTGCACATTTTCTCTGAGTAGTGTGTTTACTTGCATAATGCAGCCAAAGTGCTTAGAGGACAAAAAGTCTAATTAATTTCACATATCTTCCTAAGAAAAAAAAGAAACACGGTGTAGACTGTGATAACCAACTCTAACCAAACAATCAAAACTGGAAGTTCCATATGCCACAGCGAAAATCAATCACTCTGCTACTAGAAAATTGAACAGTTCACAGAGTCAAACAGCTCAGGAACTGCAGTAAAAAAACCCAAACCACCAAACTACTCAAAACCAAAACAAAATAAAAAACCCAAACAGATTGAACCCAACAACAACAAAAAAACCCAATCTCTTATAAATAGTTCATTCTCTATTACAATCAAGTCAGCAGATTTCTTGAAAAGTGCAAGCTGGATACTAGCTTAAGCATTAATAGAATTGTTGAACAAGTTCAATATGAGTTTTATTTACTTTTATACGTTAAAACATATAATGCATAAATCAAAAAAGGAAGAGCTTAGCTTCGGATTCTAGGTTACATGTGAAAGTTTGGCCACTGTGAAAAAGGATTTCTTTTGCGTTTCAGAATCAACCCTTTTTCTCTAGAATCCCCCTGAAAAGCATTAGTACATGATTCTCACAGTATCATTTTTAGAGTGACTCCTTGCTCCTTTTTCCAGTATATTTAACAACACAGTCTCCAGTGATTTCAACGTAAGCCTGTATGGGCCTTTTTAGTTTATACAGAGCACCAATCAGAAAATAATATTGACTTTTTTTTGCCTAGCTGTCGTATGAATAGCATTTCAGCTCAGCATTTGTCATCTACTTTCCATGCTTGTAAGCAAAAGGGGTAGTTAAAAGAGAGTTTTAATATTATAGTAAAATAATGAATATCCTCCCCTCCAGTTCAATGTCATAAAAAAGACAATACCTAGTTTTTTAATGTCAGAAGATAATGTATCCATTGGTACTACCTGTTAATATGTATGTCCTGTACATTTCTGCAGAAAGGTAGAAAACTAATGTGCAAAGTAGGCTGTCTACAATTTTGAGGACCACTAAGATTTTCTGAATAATTTTTTTTTTTGAAGTAAAAAAAAAAAAAAATTTCTGTGCTTTGCACTGGGTTGACAAGTATAGGCTTTTTTTTTTTTGTTCATCTGCTTCCTCAAATCAAACAGAAAATTTATTTTAGTAAATAGATAATTTTACACATTGTGCTCATTGGCTATTTGTGAAAGTAATCTAAGTCTTGCTACTTCACCTAAAATACATAGGAAGATTAAAAAAAAATAACATGATATTAAGACCCACAAAAATACCAAATATGAATTATTAATTTGGTGATTTTCTCATCTTCAAAACTGAAATGAGTTTAAAGCTCATCTTCCAAAGAATAAACATGGTTAAAAAAAGCAATTGTCCATTTTTATTTTTTGTTTACATTGCACTGAAAATTTACATCATACTTTTACAAATCCTTTTTCATAAAAATATACTTCTTTACAAAAGTGTATGCATTAATATAAGAGGAGTAGCCAGTTGCAGAAGAAACATTTTAAACAATCTCAAATGTATTAACCTTAACATTAATGAATGAATTATAGTTATTGCAGTCATCTGAATAAACAAGAATAAATAACAACCAATGGTATAAAATATAAAACAGCGTCCTTTTAGTAGAATACAGTTTGACACAGTTGTATGAATATTCAAAACAAAGTGTTGTAAAATGGTTTATAAGAAATTCATCAAACATTATAGAAATCCAAGCAGCAGTCCTGGGTACAATGATTTTTGGTAGGCACTCTCTATTACGGTAATAAAAAGTTCAGATTTTCACAGAATTATTAATGTCTGAAAGGGACAATAACAGATAATTCACACTGGCTAACACACAGCATTTGCGACTCATGTTATGAATGGAAGACAGTGACCTACACCAAATAAATTACTGAGTTGGCATTGAATAATTCTGATATGAAATACCTGTAAAACTAAAAAATTATATTTCCTTAGAGATGATTCTAGAATGTCTAAAACTTGTATCCGAGGGCTGTGGAATCTGAGTTGTCCCTAACATGAATGGATTGTCCCTAATAAAATCATGGCTTTATAAATATATTATTTTTTAAATCATTAGCTGTAAGGATTTGTTTCCATTAAGTACAGAATATATAGATAAAATAGATGCAGAAACACAATATTTCCAAATTATAACTTGCTCTTGCTTTGTATGTCTGATCCAAAGTTCACTGGAAGTCTGTTAGAATCCATCAACTTCAATGGGATTTCGCCATGCTTTGTGCATGCATTTTGATAAAACGCCGAAGGAACAAACTGATGTGATACAGTCTAGATTTCCCTAGCATGGATTGAAGAATGGACTCTTCAATTTTTGATATATGGATTTGATTACTAATGTTACTGTAAACTGCATTTTAACTAGAAATATCATTAAATTATGTTTTCACATTTGAAAAAAACTGAAGAACGTAACTCTTTTGAATGATCTTCAACAGTAAGGAACATAGCCACGTGACAAAGCTCAATTCATACTAGCTTCTTGATTGTGAAATTTGTCTTGTATGACTGACAGAAGAAATACAGAAATATTACCATTTTGGGGTATTGTTAATGGAAACAGAGAAACAGAGCTTGACTTGGAACATGAAAAGGAAGAAAGATATGAAGCAGGGAAGGAAATCAATTAAATAAAATCATGACATTTTAACTTTTCTTCTGTGACATGAAAAGTGTGAGTGGTACTTGCTGATTTCTAGTTACTACATCCTGGACTTAAAAAATTAACTGTTCTGAGAAAAAAAATACTAACCAGACTGAATAAATGAAAATAAAGGTACAAACTCATGAGAAAGATGTAGCGTATGACTGTTAAAGAGAAATCGGTGACCTATTGTCTCCTGTAAGTATAGCTCTTATTTTCTGTCTATATCTCTTTTTTAACCAGTCCCTCTTCTATAGTTTTTATAAAGCACAGAAATACTGATAGTGGATGCTCCTCCAATATATGCAAATATGTTTTATGTTTTAGAATAACCTCCTTTTTTAAAAAAGCAAATAAACTGTGAGTAGCACTCATGGAGTGCAGCAATTTTTTTTTTAAACTCTCCGTGGTATACACGAAGAAGAATTGTGATCCAGTTTATGAAAAACAAAATCAAAACAAAATAACCACAACCCATTCTTGTCTATCATCCTCAGGAAAAGGTGACCCAGTATATCCTGAAAAGTGTGCTTTAATTTTTTTTTTTTAATTTCTTTTTTTTTAATCAGTGAACAGTGCGTGCACTGTGTTTTGTGTCAGTTTCCAGACTTTGAAGACACATCGCTACCACATTATACCATTGTGCAAACGGTGTTCAAGTTGGGGTCAAATCGTACCGCTTTCCCTTCCGCCGACTTCGCATTCGTGTCATACATAGGGTTTTCAAAAGCAGCTTGTCCATTATTATTTTCATGTGCAGAGCATCCTGTATACTGTGATTTAGGTGCAGTCCTGTAGCAGAAAGACAGAATATTTGTAACTTCAGCTTTCCTCACTCACTTGATGTAGTTTAAGAATCTGAATAGAATTTAGCTCCCAATTCCAACTATGGGAGCTAAGTATAACATCTCTTTTTTTTTTTTTCAATATCTGTGCTAAGAATTAGGACTCTTTTTATCAATGTTTAAGTGATTTATGATTCATTTAAAATGGTGTTCACTTAAAACTTTAGTTAACAAACTGAGAAGAGGTACGTATTTCCACTTGGGTGATTGGATGATTGGTAGGAAAGAGTACATCAAAACCTTATAAAAATGCAATAATTCCCCTGCCAGATGACTGAGATTTTCTTTCTGCCTTTGGGGACTCAACAAGTTTATCAAGAATAACTTTGTAGTTGAAAAATTTTCTTTCTCGTTAAATAACTCAAAACATCAAAAGTTCAATCCCTTGAAAATATTTCATCTATATTGTTGTGCAAAATCCATACTGCATTGTAAATCATCAATATAAAATGTGAAGACAAGTGCTTACCATACACAGGTAGTAGCAAATGTATAAAAAAGTTACATGAGCACTTTTTCATATTCCGAAGCAGTTCAAAAACAAGTGGTACTGTTTAAAAATGATGGTACATGTTTTAAACTAATGTTATCCTGCAGAGTATATTACAATTTTTATTGTCAGGCTACCAGATGTAAATCACCATTTTGACAGTTAGTAGGTAATGAATTGTCAGTAAAGTGATTAAATTTTCTTTAAGCTATGCAAAGAGATTACTTGACACTAAATCCAAAGAACTGATACTGGTCTCAATAACATGAACAAAACTCTTGAGCCTAGACTAATGAAATTGAGAAGACTGGTGACTATGTAACATAATTGCATATGAACTAATAATTTCAGATGCAGAAACAGTTCCATAATGAAGACTCTCAATTATATAATACTTGCATATACGTTCAAGCTTATAAACAGAGCAGGCACTAAAATAAATTACTCAAGATATGACTCATAATTCTGCCACTTGTAAAAAAAAAACAGGCAATCTACTGTAAGTACACACAAAGCCTGTTCATTATATTATTCCCCATATGGCAATAATGTATAGCATTCATTTTTTTATCATAAGGAGAGAAATTTAGAACATCTTAAAGAGGTAGGAATGAAAGTATATCATGGTACAATAAACTGATCTCTAAGTCATTACGCCAGACCTTAATGGAGGTAGGAAGAACTGTCTGCATGCATATTTAGCAGATGTTTTCTAGTTTTACAGAAAACTTCATTCACACTAACAAAGATTGAAGGCAATAGAATCACCAAGTCATACCGGAACTCTATATATATAATTTTTACTTACCTTTGTTTATAAAGATAAAAGCCAAAACCAGCAAATATAAGTGCAAAGAAAGGCACAAGGATAGCAATGGCCACTGAACTACTATTTGTACCATGTGGCTGATTAGAAGAATTTGAACTCTCAGACATGTTAAGACCTAAAAAGAATAATAAGAAAAAACAAGTAATGTAATACGTCTGTCTGTTACCCCTGGCATGTACTGCTCCATAAACTTCAGAATTCAATAACACCTTGTGATTGGGTCATCATAATGTCTTCAGCTGTATACATACAGCTGTATGCTGAGACCACCTGGAAAGTAAATGTAGTCTAAGAGATGGATGCAATATTTTGGGAGAACAATACGTATACTGTGGTACAGTAAATATCTTACTGCATAATTCTGTATGGCATTCAAGTCTTGGATGTTATTAGTACACACTAATGTACTGTGTTACAGAAAATCGAATTTATAATAATGCAAATGTTTGATTGTATTACCGATTACAAGTGTTCATTTTAGAAATTCTTAATAAATACTGCGTGTATAAAAAGAAAATGTAATTTGACGGGACAAAGGGCAATGGGCACAAATTGAAGCACAGGAAGTTCCGTCTGAACATGAGGAAGAACTTCTTCCCTCTGAGGGTGACGGAGCACTGGAACAGGCTGCCCAGGGAGGTTGTGGGGTCTCCTTCTCTGGAGATATTCAAGACCCGCCTGGACAAAGTCCTCTGCTCCCTGCTGTGGGAGACCCTGCTTCGGAAGGAGGGCTGGACTAGGTGACCCACAGAGGTCCCTTCCAACCCCTACCATTCTGTGATTCCGTGATTCTATGATTTCAAGGAAAGTGTAAATCACATGAAGAGGCAAAACGAAAATTCATCACGCTGATTTCATTAGGCACTGCTACTGATACATAGTGTGAAAGAGGTAGGAAGAATTTTGAAGAGTTAAAGCTAGATATTAACCAAAAAATACGAATATGAACTGCTGCATGGTTGAGGAACACATTATCTAGATTATCTACTCATATAAGTGAGGAAAGGAACCTTCAAAGTTAATTTCTAAGCTTTGAACTGGACCTTTAAAGAACTGCATAGTTCACAATATTTTCTGATTTTCTTGATCTTACAAGGAATTATAGAGAAATTTTAAAAAAGAACAAACAAATAAACAAAAATAAACAAATAAAAATTAATGTGAAAAACAAAAATTACTGTGAAAAATAAAAAATAAAAAGAAAAATAAATTAAATGTTCAGAAAAATAAGTGTTTTGAGGAAAATTGCATAGGAATAGCAATCAAAATGTTTTTTTTTCAGATAAACTATTTTTGTGTTTGTGTGCATAAAATAATGAAATGGTAAACATGTTAAACAAGATCTGTTCAATGATTGTAAATCTATCTGTAACTGTATTATTGACTGTATTCACTACAATTAATTCTTGTACAGAATTTACACCTGAGCGAAATACTCTGTTCCTAAAACATATAAACCAATAAAAAGTACCTTCAATGTATTACAGAAAAGAATCTCACAATTAAAAAAGAAAAATAAAGAAATAAAAAAACCTCAGAAAATCAAATTAAGAGATACAATTTTCACAGGAAACTATCAAAACACTTCATTAAGGACGTCTTGTATATTAATTTTTGTTAGAGGACTTTTAAATATTTTGAAGAAGTTAATAAAGGGAAATAGCTCTTTTTCAATTCATTTAAAGGAAATATTTCTTGATAAAGATATTTCCAAACATTATTTTTAAACTATTTGCATATGCAAATAAAGTGAGAGTCAAGATCCCAACCAGTACATTTTACCATGACTTAGGATTGTAAAAAAAGACAAATTTGCCTTCAGGTCACACATTCACTTATAAATCCTTCCAGCACACTCAAGAATTAAAGAATTTCCTAGTTTTACTGAAAAAAATAAGACTGGACAATACTTTACATCTGAAAGAACCTTCTTTTGCATCCATGTATAGGAACTTTACGTGAAGATAAGCGCTCTATCTAAGGAGTCATTACATTAGTGAAAAGCAGTCCCTCTTCTAAAACATACTCAATAATATTTTATCATTCAAGAATTCACTATTAACTAAATCAACATTTTTGTTGAAGGAGAAATGTCGCAGCTCTTAGGACAGTATCAGAAAAGTAAATAAAATTCTTTTTCTTAAAAAGTATAACAGAATGTTATCAGAGCTGTCTTCTCCAAGAAAGCATAAATAAAGACTATTAGTTTGGTGTAGAACCGAATGTATACAATCAAGAAGACAATTTTTAGGAAAATAATGCTCTCAGGTAGGTAAGCTTTTGCTCTTCTTAAGAGTAACATAAAGGTTTACTGCAAATACTTAGCAGTTTCAGTCTTCTAGCAAATGTTTAGGTGAAATGCTTTTTCAGCACCATGAACAAGGCATCAGTTTAGCAGAGCATTCTATAACCTGGCTTTTAAATTAGTTATTTAGATGTGAAACTAAATGCATTTTGCACATGTTCGTAGAGTAGCATTGCTCAAAACATTACAAATGTATAGCTATACTAAGCAGTACATTGCAAGGCATCTGTAATTTCTTACAATTTCTGACAAGACACTCTTTGTAAGTATTTAAAGATATAAATATCTCAATATTCTATAAATTGCCAATACTGATAACATCCTGCAGATACGTTTATACCACTGGACATGATAAATAAGAATATGGAAAAAAAAAAGAATATGAACTGGAAAATACTTAGAATTTGCTGAATACCTAGTCTTTGAAGACCAAATTGTCCATAATCTTTACCCTGGATGAATCCTTGAAAAACATATGTTGCTCCATCAGGTTCTGCAGAAACCTGTAAAAAAAAGTACTCTGAATTAAAAGGGGAAAAGTTTGTTACAAGTATCTGTTTGGAAGAGAGATACCCTGAATGCTCGACTGGTAGCTGTTATTCCCCATTAAAAACACAGTTTTTTTTTCTAGGAAGTCTATAAATTTCAAAAGAAAAGACAGAACTGTTAAAGGCACAACTTAGACACAAAGGCTTATGGTCACATATACTGCCTTTAACTGTATTATTTTTAAAAACAAAAAAAACCTTAAAGTTTCTAGCAATTCAAGTTGTCAGTATTTCTAAGTATCTTACATACTTCATAATTATCTGATTTGTTTAGGAAGTAGATGGCAAAACTTACATTGTAGGTAATCCTAAGGATGCATATATGGAGGTTTAAATAATTTCTTTAAAAGTAATTTAAAAGACCTCATGTTCAACTGACAGTTCCTTTGTTCTTTATAAGTGCTTATCACAATAATTACTTTATTGTACAGCTGTAGAGCACAAGAATATTGAAGAAGGTTTTGGTACAAGAACAAAATGTGCTAGTATAAACTAAAAACCTGTGGGAGGGAGGAAAGGGTTGTAATCCTATGAATATCTACCTTATTAGGGTAAATACATTCTAAACTAACACAGTGTGTTCAAATTTACAGGTGATTGCTTCCCGGGATAGTTACTAGGTTTAATTTCAGAGGTCCCAAGTCATGTTCCTTCAAGATTTTCCTTTCAGCTTCCCTTTCTCAAGGCAACAGTAAGTCTTCAGCAATGACCTGAAGTTATGTTTTCACTGAAGAAAGGGTGCATTTCTCAGGTGAATTTCTTACTTTGGGGGAAAGCAGCCTGTCTGAGCTTTTCCAAGATTTAAAAAAACAATAAAATTGTCAAATAAGAACACTGTGTAAATAGCATATGGAATGTAGAAACTGTACTTTGTACTTTCGTACCTTTAAAAGACTTGTTTTACCATATCATTTCACCTCAGGACCATGCTTATGCATGTTTGTACAAAACCATAGAGTTTATGTAAGACAAGGAGTTAAGCCCTTTTACAAGTATATTTATTGTTAAGCTCCAGCAGGTCGAGGGAGGTTCTCCTTCCACTCTGCCCTGGTGAGGCCCCATCTGGAGCACTGTGTCCAGTTCTGGGCTCCCCACTTCAAGAAAGATGAAGAGCTACTGGAGAGAGTCCAGCGGAGGGCTACAAGGGTGGTGAGGGGCATGGAGCATCTCTCCTACGAGGAAAGGCTGAGGGAGCTGGGCTTGTT